TTGTTCTTCTGCTTATGTGCAGTGCAAGTTTCGCATCATTTCAGTGAATCTACGAATGCGCAGAAGGTCGACAATTCTGGCGCTAAGGCTATCACAAACTCCCTAATAACTCGCTGCTTTTGCACGCCATAGCGGACAACTATCATCTTCTACGCATACGCAGTTCAAGTTTCGCATCACTTGTGCATTTGCGCATGCGCAAAAGATCGATAGTGCACGTTTGCTGTGTGAACGAATCGTTTCATAAACTACATTTCTACCACTCTATTGTGTAAAATATCTATAGTATTTGAAGTCAAGTTGAGGCAGACTAGTCAATTACTATTTTGTAATATACAAATTGATCACAAAAATCTCTTATTTTTACAGCTCAGCAATGATGACATCCCAAACGCTGCCCAAAAAATACTTCTATCAAGAATGTTGATATGATTGAAAACTCATTTAAAGCAGAAACTTGAATTTTAAATCGTGCGATTAATTTTTTCGATATTTTAATTCCAAAACTCATTTCAAACTGATCCCAAAATTCATGGCCCAATGCACTTGAAAACGAAAGGACGCTTAGTAAAACCAAATGAACGATCGCTTCCAAAATGGTCGTTTTTTTTTTCGAACATTTCAATTGAACTAGTTCGTTCGTGAACGATTCATCCATAGTGGTGACGGCGCGGGGACAGCTGTCGTGTGAACTGTGAATTCATGATAGACAAATATAATGTAATGGCAATATAAACATTAGTGAAGGAATTTTTTGCATCGCGAGGATAAGCCAAGCAGCAAATGACTTGCGGTCAACAATTTATGTACTTTCTGCGGTCATTTGCTTGCCCTAGAGCATCCTATCATACATAAAGATAGTAATAGTATCATGAGTTCGTCAGGTTCCAGCTTTCGAAAACGAGTGGGAACCAGAGTGCCGTTTATTTTGGGGACGAAACCATCAATACAAAACGCTCAATTGCTTACTTCAACTGGAGTTCCCTCGTTGGACACTTTCATAGGTATGGGTGGGGGAGTGCTGTGAGCATGGGGTACTAATTTGTTGTTTGAACAATGGGATGTAAAATAATAAAATAAACATACTTAACTGTTGTTTGAAATAAGTAGGATATTCAGCTTTAAAGCTTAAATGAAATAATATTAGATTAATATCTTGAAAGAAGACAGATCGAAGGAGGCTGATCTTACCTATCTTTTGACAATTTTTTTTTATTAAAGTGTTGATTCAATTACTTTATTATGGTCATTAAGAGTATGGATTTAGAGTTTCTTTTATAATTTTTGTACAGATTTTTTTTATATCTGTCCAAAGTCATTTCATTTTCGAAATAGTTTTTACATTCTGCACTGTATTTAACCTTGAAAAAAATGTTAAATTGTCCATTTCAATTCCAAAAGTTCTACATTTTTTTAGTGATGATATACAAAACTCGGTTCTGGCTCTAGGCATGAGTAACCCGGGAGAAAATGGTTATCATAATTGTATAAGTCGCAGTGCAAAAGTTTTATATTTCATAAAATTTGCAATTCATTTTTACCTTAAATGTTTTTATAGTCATTACGTACAAGGGAAGATTGTATGAAATAAATCAAATTACTCTAACATTAAATTAGGTTTTACTGAAATTCATATTTATTATTTCATATATTTAAAAAGTAATTTTATAAAACACTAAACATGACAAAACTTTTTAGCAATTTATTTATGTAATGTTTGGTACTTTATCATCAGACACTACTTAATAAAATTAGAAATGCATAGAAAACTTAATCAATTGATAGGAAGCAAAAATGACCTGGCATAGCTGAAAATCTGATATGCATAAAACGATGTAACTACAGAGAAGTTTTTTAATTGCAAAATTGAAAGTAGGAACAGAAATTAAATAGTAATTGTCCAATTTTTGAATTTGTTATTGAAAACAAACATTTAATTAGCTTTCAAGACAAGGAATATATTCAGTTCATATAATGTTCAATTATGCGACCCAGAACTGACTTTCCCTTGTTCATCCCTCACTTTATCATGTAGTGAGTGTAACTGTTCCACTATTTATTTGCATTTACCTGATTGAAATTTTTCAGGAGGAGGTATCCCCATTGGAACATTGTTTTTGATTGGTTTGTATTTGTAAACCTGTTTTGTTGTGAATATGTGCATGAAACTGTCTGGCGAGAAAAAAATAATTTTTAATGCTTTCAGAGGAAGATGTGTACGGTAATTTTGCTAAGCTCCTCTTCAAATATTATTTGGCTGAAGGTGTTATTTCTCAACATGATTTACATGTGGTCAGTCAAGATGTCGATCCTGTACAGATGGTAACTTTTACATTTTGAAATTCATGTAAATAAAGAAATAAATTTTAAAAAAGTGCATTTGCTAATAATAGTAAATGCTTGATCAAAAATTACACCAAACCTAATACTTTTTACTTTTTTTCACATTTTAATGGTGCCACGTGTAGGCTTGGTCCCAGAAATTGTAATACAACTGTTCAAATGGGTTTGTGCAAAGTTTGGGAGCTATGGATCAAAAGATTTTGTGGAAAGCACATGCACACACACTTTCATTTTCAATTAATGGGTGAAAAATATACATTATTGAAGCATGTAAACATTAATGACTCTCTTTATTGGAGATTCTATCACTAACAGTGAAGTGACCTGAAATAAGCTTTATTAGGTTCAGGAAAGAAAAAGGCATGTTTAATATATGCTTAATATTAAAAACTACATATGATCTGCAAGAAATAAACTTTAAAAGTATTGGAGATAATCTGTTTAAAAGAAATCATGAAATAAGTTACTGTTACCATTTTAAAATGTTTGCAAATGTGAATATTAATTAACCTATACCGATTCCTTTAAGAAATTAATCTGACTGAATGTATTAAAGTTTTTATTACCAATTACAGATTTGCTTTTCATCTAATACATAAAAATCAATGTTTGTTGGTTCGGGCTGAATGCCCTTAGTTTATCGGATTCCGATAAAACTTATTGCTTGCACTTGTGGGAAGGATGTAAGCATAGTAAAATTATTGTAACTCCCCTAAATGGCACTGCATCACAAGATGATGCTTCATTTCAAAGCAATTCTGAATACACCTGAACTTCATTGTTGCTGAGCGTCTCCGTGTGAAGTGTGTCAAGGGAGAGAAGGACAGCAGGAGCAGGCAGCGTAAGATTAAGAGGGAAAAAGACAGAGAGAGAGGGAAAGAGAGAAGAGAAAAAAGAGAGGGGGGAATAAGTCACCTCTTAAATAAGAAACACAACAAGATAACTCGTTCAAATTTCAAACAATATTTCCATCATTATTTTGTCTATGGCAGTAACGTGCCAAGTACCAGCTAGTGTTTTATAAAAAATAATTTTTGTTAGAACTGTATCAGGGTAAACTATTGCTTCTATTTTATATTAAATTGATATCTTTTCTCTGTTGGCCTCCAGAAACCAAACATAACTCTGCATTTTCATACTTTACTCTTACTGTACAGCTGCGACTGTTGCACTGTATGTTGATGAACGACTGCAACTAATAGCAATCTCCTCTGTTTGCAGATAGAAGATCTCCCAAAACCTATAGAGAAAGCGAATTTGAAAGAAGGCTCTCATTTTGGGCCCAAAGACCAAATGAATATTGCATGGAGGTATCAGAACCTGCCTTCTGTCCAGACAGAGCCAGACACAGACTTTGGCCATCATTACGACATTACGCAGAAAATGGACCCTGCTCAAATGCAAAAAGTTAATATTACTTATTGGAATGCTGATGAAATTGATGGCACACATTTGAATGGTAATAAAAAATATGTAACTAAGTTTTGCAAACAACTTCCACATTTTACCTTGAGTAATCTAACAGTAATTTTTGACTTGTTTTAAGGTAATAATGCATACTATGAAGAGCTACTGGAATCTATTCAGCAACGCATTAAAAATGGCCAGTTCTACAGTGAAGATTCTCCGAAGAAAAGAAATGTGCTACGAATTGGAGTTCAGAGTTTGGGATCTCTCCTTTGGGGAAGAGACAGCACTAATCTTATTTTATTTTTGTATAAATTGAGGTCTTTACTTCAATCATCTTACTGCGTTTGTCTTCTTACTATTCCTACACATCTTATTAAAGTGAGTGAGAGTATCTACATTGTAACTATTATTGACATAATAGCCATTTAATTTTTAATAATATTTGCATAAAGTTTTCCTTTCTGAAGTCCTTGTGTTGACCATGACTGGGTAAATTTTCAATTTGACCTAGTTCATAAAACTAAATACTCGAAAATAATAACAGATGAAAATTGTCATTAAACAGATGATAATAAAACGTTTCAAAAATAATGTTGTTTTGTTGTGGATAATCGAGAGTTCAACAGATAAATCAATTAATAGTCTACTATTTTGCAACTTTGTGATTGCACACAGTGTAGACAAAATTAATTTGAATTAGAGTTAAAGTAGTATGCTCAGTATTGTATTCTTTTTTGAAATGTAAGAATTCTTATAATAGCTTCCTTTTCTTATACTTAATTTTATTACTTTATTTCTTTGGAAGTAATTTCATTTCCTATAGGTTCTGCTACAAATAATATTAATAATTTTCCTATTGTTGTTGTTATTATTATTATTATTATTAGGTAATGCATGTAATATATTTAAGTTCTGAAGCAGATTTCTTTCTAATATTTAATTTTTATTTAGAAAATTTCAGATGTACACAGATGTCAACACTTGTGTGATACTGCAGTGAAGCTGGAATCGTTTGCAGGATCGGACAGAGAGACAAATCCAATTTTTAAAGATTATCATGGTTTATTTTACATAAACAAATTACCTGCAATTAATTCATTATGTAGTCATGTTCCTGGGAGTTTTGATCTGGCATTTAAATTACGGCGAAAGAGATTTTCCATTGAGGTAAGATATGCCGGTAACCCTCCTTGTACGTCAATCCTTTCCCAAAGACCCGAAGTTTTTAGTGCACTAAAATATGAAAGGTTCAATATAACATTCTGGGGCATAGCTGATCTGGTGTAACCAGTAACAACACACTGGGGCCCCTTACTCAGAGGCTCCAGAAAAGGATTCCAGCCAATGAAGGTAGGGATCCTATTCAACAATATGTTGCAGGTGTCTCTTGGTTAAAAGAATTCTGTAACAAATTACTCGTCGTCATTCTACATTATTAAGATTATTTCTTATTTTTGGTGCAATTTAATGCAGGAAAATTATTTCAAGGTACCACAGCAACAAAAACAAAGATACTCAAGGACCAGTGATCGAGCAAGGGGGTATTCACAGTGAATACACTGCTTTGCCTGTAAAGTTATGCCCACCACAATCTGCTCTGCTACCTGTAATCTCTGCTATCTGTAAATATACAAAGCCACCAGTGAACGATTTCAAAAAAAGACCACAAAATTTTTGTTTTGGAAACTACACAAAGTAAAATGGGCAACACTACAAAATAAATATATGAACAACTTGGGTTTCACAAGATGTATTTGATCTGCGTTGTTGCCTTGGTTGACAGCTGAAAATTTTAAGAATTAATTTCAAAATAGTGGCCCAAGAACTCCTTCTTAATTGGCGCAATGTCATAAAATGACAATGGCTCACTCAATGGCATAAAATGAAGAATGATTTGTACGCTGGTTGAATCCAATATTGTAATGCGTACCTAGCATAAATAAATTAGATCTAAAACTCATGATTTCACCTTAGTGAATTGCAGTAAGAGGGTCCCTTCTGTCTACCTTCTGCTCTAGGGCCTCCAAAAACTTGGCTAACAATGTTACAGTTATATTGGTACTCGGTACTCAAAATCAGGAACAAAGAATGACAATGAAATGGGTAGTCAACATTTGGGTTTAAGATTAACCAATTTTCAGTGTTTTTTATTTTTCTTTTTCTAAAAATCTTTCTTTTATTAAAAGTTGTAACACTTGCAATGGGTGAGAATGACTTTGCAAAAGAACTCAATAATAAAAACAAAAATTATTTAATGAAATTTTGGTGGGAAATTTGATTTTATCACCTGCTATTTCACAAATTTCCAGAGGTTCTATTACAGGGGAAAAAATATTTTTGCATTTCTCATTCTAGATTATACATCTTTTTAAGGAATTTAGTAGAGTGCTGCAAGGCGTTCCAAATGCTTGCTCACACTCAAAGATTGTTCCTTTGGCACCTTCAATTCAAGCATCCTGGAATTTCTCAAATTGCGTGTGGGGCAGACTGTCAAAACCAGAACAACAGGTCGCATTGTACAATAGTTAAAAAAGGCATTTGCATGCAGGCATCCTTACTACGCATCCCCTTGTTCTCAATGAACATTTTAAGCCTTTCAGGCACATTTTTCTCAAGTTTTTCACATGCTGTGTTCATTTCTGCACATTGGTGCCAAATTTGGAGAGTTACACTTTTAACTTGACCCAAAATGATAATTATGTAGTTTTGAATAATATTTAACATTAATCTTCAGATCTCTGCAACTTACAATACTTATAGTACTGAAACTTGTGATTACTGTAAAAGAATTCATGTTTGAATGAATAGCGGATACATAGGCAAGCATTTAACACTATGCAAACAGGCTCTCAGGGCTGTCAACTTTTAACATCATAACATTCCTGATTTTTGCTTGTTACAATTTCTAGTAACAGTCTGGTATAAGTACTAAATGTATTAGACTAGTACAAAGCATATTTGTAAGACATAGTAGAAAAACACGAAACAATATTTTAGTCTAATAATTTGGACTGGACTGTACTCTCATTGTCTGTTCATTCCAGATGCTGCATTTGCCCCCTGAACTGCAGGAAACGACTCAACGAGAACAAGACGATTTTGGATCTGTAATGTTAGGGTGTTCCAATCCAAGAAGTAAAACATTGGACTTTTAAGATGGCCTGAATGCTTTCATTTCTGGAAGATGGTTTAGTTGTGCATAAACTCTTATTCATAGGAAGTGTACTTTGAGTGTAAATAAATATGTGAAAATATAAAACAGTTTTATAATGTAATACATATGGACCACTTCTGTTGAAATTGAACTGCCACAAGTTGATACCAAAGTGATATGTAATTAAGCAAGATACGAGTTTAGAAAACTAGTATCCTGGCGAAGCTCTTATGTATTGTGTTTATTGAAATATATATTTCTTTATGAAACCAAAGAATTGTGAATAAATTATCAATATAACTGAAGAAGTTAGTATATCTCTTGTCTTAATTACTCAAAAAAGTGCATGGTCATGTACATCACTAGTTCATTCCTTGAATCTCAATTAGATATCTTCCATAAATTATGGGACACAAATTTGGAGTGTTTTGGATTCCCCCTAAAAAATTACATAAAGCTTGTGTCTCCCCAATCCATTGATAAAAAGTAAAAATTAATGATATAACAATTAAAATTATTTGTAATAATTGAAGATCGCAACAATTCCAATCACTAAAAATATGTTGCGATACATCCCTGGAACTCGTTGCAATACGCATATTCTGTGACTTTGGCACTAGGTATGTAAGGCTTAAGGATGACCCTTACGAGAATGCTCCTAAGAATGTGAAGTGTACATCTTCACTATGAAGCAGTAAAAAAATATTAATATGTAAATAAATTGTTTTCTTAATATGTGGATGTTTTGCCCCCTTTGTTAAGTTTTTTAAATTACGGTCTTTTAAAATTGGAATCAATGAGGCATTTGATTTATAAAAATTAAATAGATAGAAAGGACTTTTGAAAAAAGAAGGAAGAACTTAATGTTTTTGACAGGAAAATGTCTTTAAATCATATAATTTAAATCAAATAAAATGTAATTAAATTTATAAATACTTTCAGAATCCTTTACATAATGCTAGTTAAATCTGTTTGGACATATTCTATAGTTTGGTTGCCTTTCTTCCAAATACACATATAAAAATGTAAGTTGCCCCACCAGACTTTTTAGTACTTTCTCACCCGTATTTTCACGCAAAATTACGCAAAAAGTTTTCAAATTTTCAAAAAGTACACGACCTTATTTCAAAATTACCTTTAAGTTATAGATTTGGTTTCATATTGCAGGGGCCCCAACATCAGCCAGATGGATTTAGGAATATCAATTTTGGAGAAAATTAGCTAAACGGTTTAGCTGCTAGCATTGTCAGATAGACATTTTGCTATTATTCAATCTTTCTGTATGAAAGTCCCACAAAATGGACTCTAGTTACACCACATGTCAGAGGATTCTTTTTCTAAAAATACCAAGTGGATTCTTTCACTTTTTTTGTTACCAGGGCCCTATAATAAGTTTTACTGCCGAAAATTGGCCGTTTTCTGTGCAGCATTACATCATTTTTTCTCTACTCTGTAGCAGGAATGTTAAAACTGATACTCTTGTAACAAAAACAGGTATTCATGCATGGCCAATAATTCTTTGTCCAGAGATGATTTTCCTTTATGAATATATGTTCACTTTTTGTTCTCTTTTCTTGAGAGTTCTGTGAACCAGGCTAAATCCTTCCTTTTGTATGTTGATAAAATATTATTTATGTTACTTTTATCAACATATTCATCACTGTGTATATGGACTTTTAAGACTGTTTATGTGATAAAGAAATAAAATTATTTAAACAAGTTGCTTTTGTAGATGTTTGGAAAACAATGAAACCTTCATAGTGAGAAAAGTACCAATATGTAAATGAAACGTAACACTTACTATACAATTATCTATAAAACACCAATTTTTAGAGTAGTTGTCATTGAACACGAGCAATTGCATATTTTATTTAAAAAACAATAAGGTCAATTTTACAAAGTAGTACTGGCACAAGCTTGCACAACCGCTACATCACATCAAACCAAATGAAATATTAGTACTCATTTATTACCCTGAAATTAAATTTATTACTCTTGCCATTTATGAAATAAACGTGGTTGTGCTGGCAAGCCTGTCGAGTTGTTTAATTTAAAAACAAGCACAAACTATTACAAATATTTAGTAATCATTTATTACTGCCGTTTATGAAATAAATATTAAAAACTGCATAGATATAGAACCACACACAATATTTGAGTATTGAATTAGAGAGTATAAACAAGCACCAACAACTAAAACCTATTAGATAATTAAATACAAATTCAATACTAATTTATTATTCTAAACAGAAAGGGAACATTCGAATAATGCAGTGAAAAGTGCCAAGTGCCCCCAAACAAAATCGATAATCGCGGTGTTCATATGAAAGAGAATTCAAAATGTAGATTTGCACAAAATCAGTCTCCTAGTGCAATCTGCTGTAGAGATACTAGATATGTGTTATTCATGTTTTATTTTTTCTCAGCTTCTATTGCTTATATCAGGCTGAAAAAAAATCACAGAGATAGAAAAAATAGTTGAATTAGAATATATATTTTCAACCATTTTTGATGCCAAATTCAAATAGAAACTACTGGTGCCATGGAACGGCACAGTCTCTTCCGTAGTAGTTTTCCATTTCCTATGGTCTCGGCTAGCTATTCGAACTTGTCACATACTCTTGCCTGCTGCCATCTATCGGCACCCTAAATACATTTTTTTTTTAATTTAAATTTTTCGGTTTACTAATAATAAAAGTATTATTTTAGGAATATTAAAGAACAGTAAAACTGCGTCCTTAATGGCAATATTCGTTGAAAAATTGGAGCCGTTTTTAAGAAAACGGCGCTTAAGCGCTACAGTATATCCGAAATTTTAAGAACTTTTTTCCAGAAAAATTTGAGTTTTCGAAAAAATCATTAGAAGTCATGTGAAGCACAGTAACTCACAATTACAATAGTGATTACAAAATGCATTTGTGTAATTTTTTTAAAAAACAAACAATGAACTTAATGCCATATTAAAGAGTGCAATTAACACGATCCGTTCGAAAAGAAAAAAAATGGAGAAGTTTTTCAGAAAATGACGGTCGAGCGATTATGAAATTGCGAAATTTTGGGCTACTTTTAACAAGACATGGTTCATTTTTCGAGAAGCTTCATGTGACATTATTTAAAGCACATGTACTCATAAAATATTATAGTGAGAGGAAATTGCGTTAAATATTGACGACGTGAGAGACAAGTAAAAAAATTAAATTTTTGAAAAAAAATAGAGCATTATGGTTTTTAAGTCATCTTATAGAGTGCACGTAGTACAATCCCAACCAAAAGTTGAAAGAAAAAAAGTTGAAGAGGTTTTTGAAAAATCTTGTTTTTGTAATTTTTGAAAATTACACGCAAAATTACGCAAAAACTAATAACATTTTCAAAAAATGTACATGAGCCTAATAAAAGAACTAATTATGAACAAAAAATGTTATTGGAAGAAAAATCTCTATTTTTAATTTTGTTGTTACTTTTGAAACTTTCGAAAATTTTGATTAAACCGTGAAAATCGAACCCTATGCCACATTTATAAGGGCATTTTACTCCATTCTCATGTGAAATTTAAAGATATAATTTGGAGTCATTTTTGAGAAAATTTTGAAAATGTCCAAGGGGCTTCATGCAAAATACCCTCAAAAACTAATGAATGATTTTGAAAATTGCAGAGCGTCGACTCAGGCCAAATGGACAGGCGTTCCTTCAATTTGGAAAAAGTCCTTCGCATGGTTAAGGCGCTTGTTAACAGTCACCAGACAGATGGACGGACGTACAAAAAACAACACTTTTTCAGTAGCAGAGGACCCCAAACAACACTTTTTCGGTAGCAGGGGACGTGAAAACGTGTATTTCCATTGAAATCTCGAAAACTATTTTCCGCAATATTACATAACTTTCTCTGTACTACGCATATTACTCCGTATATACGTACGTATACGGAAAAAAAAAATAAAAAAAATTGAAATTGATTTTCAACATAACGCAGGTACTGTCTCAACCCCCCCTATTATATGTATACATTCTATAAAATTTATTTTTTCCAGATTTTTAAACAATGTGGATTGTTAAAAACAATAAAAACCTTTTTAAAATTTGAAATTAGCGCCAAAATGTTATTTAAAATAATTTCTTACCAATATTTAAACATAGTTTTAATCACGGCATATGAACTCGAAATCTTGTAGATATTACATCGATTATCAAACTCAATTGGAAGATCCAGGGTGGAAAGAGATGCGTGGGCCCTTGCGCATCCGAGTTCAGCCAATTAACTATTGGCTCCAATTTGCACCATAATATTAGCGGGTGTTTTAAGTACAAAAATGATCACCGTTGAAACCGAATGTCTTTTTTTTTAATTTTTCATCTTTTATTTCAATCACATTTTCCTCCTGTTCTTTTTAGTTATTCACCGTTAATAATTCTCACTTTAAATGTTTCTGACTTCACTGCTTTTGATGTTCAATAAATGAAAGAAAAAGTCTCATAAGGGTTCCGTGTCCGACAATAAGAAAAATTCAAAGGAATTTCGAGCTGACAACTCGTCAAACGAAGCGCGGGAATCAAATGTTACATTAAAATATTTAGATACGCTAAACTATTCATGACTGTTTAACTATGTGTACATGATGCATTTAATTATTTTACAACAGATTTGTTACAAAAAAACACTATCAATATTGCAATGCAGAAAGACGCCCTCCAAAAATTGCTCTTTTGTAATTTTTGAAAAATCAGGGATGAGTGCCAGTATGCAGTTGTCTGTCTGAAGTGGAAGCTGAGCTGTGAAGTGTGCATTGCGGTGAACAGAAGTCAGCACTTTGCAGTGGAAGCTGAGCTATGTGGTCTGCGCAGTGAATTGATGTCAGCGCGGTGGACCGTGAACAGTGCATCGGACTGTGCGATAGTGTAGAGGAAGTGAACAATATAATCAAATTAATTAATTAATCAGAAGAAAAGAAATAATCAGATTGCAGTGAAGTGCAAATAAATAATCAAGAGAACGGAGTCGTGTGTAAGGAAAATAATCAAGTGAAGAACACAAGGACTGTGTAATATAATTGTAAATAAATCAAGTATTCTTTGTGTAGATTAAGAAGCAAATATAAAGTTTATTAAAATTTTCATGCGTGTGGTGTTTTAATTCACACGGAGAAACGTTTACAATAGACAAACGCGATTAGTAACAATGAGAGATTTATGACAGAAACCTCTTATTGCTGGACCGCTGGTTGGGGCAAGGGGTCAATCTTGCCTTATATTTACAGGTGTACAACTTTGCTTCCGCGTTTTTTAATAGTTGGCTACAGTGGTAATTACGGTCGGATAAAAGTCGAGACGTCAGGCAGTTGTGTGAGTTGGAACATAACCTCATTCAAACATTAGTGATTTGTGTGTGCAACGTATGTTGTTCCGCGATTAAAATGTCAGTGTACGAGCGAAATTCTCTATGTTGCGGGAGGCTATGCTTTTTTGTTTCATATGAGAAACTGCGCTGGTCTCATCGAATGCTTCCAGTACGTATGGTGAGGACTGTATTAGTAGAGAAACGTGTTACGAGTGGTTTAAGCTTCAGGAATGGTGATTTAACGTGGAAGGACGCATAGTGGCGGAAGAGTGGAAAGTTTTTTGAGGATGCAGATCTGGAGGCTTGGCTGTGTGAAGACTCGCGTCAAGCTTCAGAAGAACTGGCACGATCATTGGGGATGAACAGAAGCCATTTAACGTTCAAATCTATGGTAGATCAGAAAGAGGACTATGGGTCCCTATGAGTTTGAAACCGAGAGCATTGAAAGGCGTTATGTGTTTAAGTGACATGTTGCTTCAGAGCAAAAACGGAAGGGTTTCCTGCATCGTGTGTGACCGGGACGAAAAATGTTCATAGATAACCCTAAACGCAAAAAAATCATGGGTATCCCCATGCTTCCACGTCGACGGCCAAACCGAACATCAATGGTCCAAATCATGCTCTGCATTTGGCGACGCTCGGCGTCGTGTACCATGAGCTTTTAAAACCAAGTGAAACAATCACAGGTGATCGATATCGAACGCCATAATGCGTTTGAGCCGAGAATTGAAAGACAAACGCCCGCAATACAGCGAGAGGCACGATAAGGGATTTTGCTGATGCACAATGCATGCCCCACTGTTCAAGAGTGGTCAAAACTACCTGAAACGTTGAAATGGGACGTCCTACCCCGCTGTATTCCCAGACGTTGCTCCCACTCTGATTATCCATTGTTCCGTCAATGCCCACGACCTGGCTGA